TGGTCGCTTTTAAAAAAGCATAGTTTCAAAAAAAATATACATTAAGATAAAAGAAGAAAGACAGGAGAACATTACTGATCGATCTTTCACATGATTAAAGGATTTAGGAGGTTCCCATTTGACAAAAGTTGCTAGTTATAACTACGGTTGATAGTTATAACTCTGGTTAAAGGTTATAACTGCGGTTGATAGTTATAACTCTAGTTATAACTGTTTTAACTTTTTGCCAATTTTGTCAACTATCAACTTTTTGAAAAATAGTTTTAGGTCCCACACTGTGACCTTGGACTAATCGTTTCTATCGATTGTCAAAGAATAATGGCGTTTTTTTAAGCAAATAAAAAATAGTAGTTTTGCACAGCATCGTAACGCAAATCTCTTAAAACAAAGATCAAACGAAACGGATGAGATTTGACGAAAATATCGACAAAATGCTGATGGTATCATTCTTCATACGTACCACATCTGATATGTATACATAACATGAAAATTATAATTAGAATACATTTATTATTGATAGAAGACATATAATACCAAACTCTCTATTAATAACTATTTTCATTATATAATTATATTGGAGATATTAGATTCAGAGTATAAAAATTTCATGGAAAAATTCTAAGATTTACAAAAATTCAGTACGATGTATCAGTATCTATTTTTATTTCTCAAAATACGCTGATTTCTATTTAAAAAAGGACAATGAGTTTTAGAAGATTCTTATGATTCACAGGATTCCCTTTCCCATTTATTAATAAATGTCAATATCTTTCTAAATTATTTCTTTTTGTTTTGATGTAGTTATTGTTAAATAAGTGTAAATTTTTATATTTTATGTATAGATATATAAAGATTTCAATGATGACATATCTGATGAAAACTATGTATTACATTTATTTGTGGAACAAGATAAAATAATAGTTCTCTTTAATGAGAATTCTCAACATCAAATCTAATTTCTTATTCTTTTTTTAATGCTAAATTGTCTACAGAATTTTATAGACGAATATGGACAAGAATGATTTCTTGAAAATTACTATTGCAAAACAACTTTGATCATAGATTAAAATACCAAAAAAAAACTATATAGATTTTCAGTTTTGAATATAAATCAATGTTATGTATCTTCTTATTTTTAATAATTAATAGTTAAGATTAATTGGCAATTAATAAAAACATGAAAAATATGTCAATACTAAACATTCTTTTGTTTATGCAATACATCTTTTATTTGAGAATCATCGTTTACATAATTAAGTCGATGGCTTTCTTTTTCAAAAATTCAAGTTAAGTTAAATTAGTGTTTGAATTACTTCATTGATATGATCATAAAAATCTCTGCATATGTTAATTTATCTCGTGAAATATATGCCTAAATGATATAGTTTAATCTATTATAAATTTAATCTTTTAAATAAATAAAATAAATTTGATTTCTGTCATTTATTTTTGTGAATTTACTAATTATATTCGAAATGTCACTTAATTTTGAAAATTATAAAACAAAAGAAGAGAAAAATAAATCAATCTAATAAAAGAAAAGAAAAAAAACGTTGTCATCGCTTAGAAGTGTAAAACAATAAAATAAATAAAGAATTTTATCCAATATAAAGAACAATAAAATATATTATTGAAAGTCCTCCAATAATACCAATAAATTGTCGAAATGAATGTCTAGAGTTTTTTAGAAAAAATGCAATATTTCATAATATTAAAAGCAAACAAAAAAAAAGACTACTTACGATAAATCATTTTCTTTTAATAAATCCGGTACTGTTTTAACAAGAGCTACATAAAGAAAACCACCACTAGTAAAAGGTAATACCCATAAAGTACCTATAAAATAAAATCATAATTGAAATTATAATTGAAATGAAATAAAATTTACTGTGACTTGAACTTGAATAATAAAGTGCCATTACAGCGCCTAAAACTCCTCCTAAACCAGTTATAAGTTGAGCTTTTGTTGCTTCCCAACGATTAAAACCTGATTTTAACAGTATAGCAAAATCTCCCATTTCATGTGGAATTTCATGAATTACAATTCCAGCAAGTGTTGTCATTCCCACTAATGAATTAACAGCAAAACCTCCGCCAATAGCTGCACCATGTGTTAAATTATCTATGAAGTTTGCTAATAAATTTAAATAACCTGTTGTCTAAATATTTCATTAGAAAAATTATTTTATAGAAATAAAATATTTTGAAAAAAATATCTTATCTACTTTGATTTTTTTTTCTGTTGGTATAATATTCTAAAAGTAAAACAATTCTTTGTAATTATTTAATAAGATAAAAATTGTTTTTCTAAATACCGCTAATATTTGATTTTGTTGATTTGTTTCCGAAGAAGAATTGTCTTCATCTTCTGGAAATATTTGTTCAATAAGAAAAAAAATAAATAAACCTGTTAAAGTCCAAAGACCAATACTAATCGATGATGCTTGTGGATGAGCAAATGCTTCTGGTAATAAATGAAGAAATACATCACCTAATTGACTACCAACAGCAACACTTAATAATAATTCCAAATATGGTTTATCTTCTATTTAAGAAATAAAGAAATATATTTACAAAATTTTAGATTAATATTTATTAAAATAACTTTTTGTTTGTTCATTTGGAACAATAAAAATGGGTAAAAGGCCAATACAACCAACAAGAGCAGCTCCAATTAATGCACTTATCCATGTTTCAAATGAATAACCTATTGAATTTAATGTCATTTATTTTGTTATGATCGAATATTTTCGTTTTTTATCTTTAATTAATAAGATTTTCCATTTATTTTGCTTTTTAAGAAGCAAATCATATGCTTTTTTTCTCTTAGAAAAAGAAATAACAAAAAAACAGAACTGTTTTGTCCTTTCTATCGACGGACAGAGAAATAAACACGCGTTAATGAGTCATCCATATATATATATATATATATATGCCCTTTCACCGAACTAAGCGAAGAAAATGTATTGAAGAAAGGTTCCTATATATTGATGTATATATAGATATAGATAGATAGATAGATAGATTATCTTTAGTTATTCAATGACGTGAATAAATGTGATCATGTAATTCTGAAACAGATGACATAAGAATGAAAATACAATTTTTATTTATTTGATCTGAGAATCGAATTATCAAATGATGTAAATTTAAATCCACGTAAAAGAAAATAAATAAAAACATCAAAAATTAAAACAAAATATGGTAAAAGAACAAGAATTATTTCACCAAATGTAGCTCCATCTTGTGCAAATGATATTTGACGTGGAACTAATGATGGACGTGATGAATTAGATCGATGATCTATTTGTTCTTCTTCAGTTTCTTCAATAGAACTTTGAAATGCATCATTTTTTGTTGTTGTTGAAGACATTCAAATGTTTATCCTTTTACTTTTCTTTTTTCTTTTTTCTTTTTACTTTTTCTAAAAGATAATATTTCAATATATATCTTCTTATCATTCTTCATTACATCAACATACATGTGTTTCTTTTTATCATAGATAAAGATTATTTTAGTTTATTTCATGTCTAAGAACATCATTAAATATTTATATAATCAGTAAAGAAAAAGAAAAAGAACTAATTTTATTGATTTTTCTAGAATCTATTAAATAATTTCATATTTAATCATATAAATTGTATATCCATTAGAGCTTGTGTAAATCGATTAATTTTTTTTTATCGAAGAATAGATATATGTTTTATACTCGTAAATCTTCATAGAGACAACGTTAGTGGAGAACCTTTGTTATCTTTGACTATTAACCTCAACAAAAATATTTGACTTTTTCATGGATAAGAAAAGAAAACAATATAGTTAACATAGATTGTTATTCATTGCATTCATAGAAATTTGGAAATGTGAAAATGTTCCTATTTTTAATTAAAGATTGAACTGGATTTTATATTATTGATATTATATTGTATCGATCATTGATTGTATTTTAATAGTTTAAAATATTTCATAATAATTATTTTTATTTTTTATTCTAAATACGATAATTAAATTTATTTTATTAAAAAAATTGATTCTTAGAATTCTCATCCATTTGTTTTTCTTCATTTACGATTCTATTTTAAAATGACTTAAAATAATTAGAAAATCTGTAAGAATTTCTTTCTTATTATATTCTAAATTGATTTATTAATCATAATTTGATTTAATGTAACTTTTTTAAAAGATATTTCTCAATTAAATAAGAAATAAAATAAGATTGATTTATCTCTAATTAATTTAGATTTTTTAAAATATAAAAATTAGTTCGAATAATTTCATTTAATATTTTTCTTATGATTAAAATAATCTACGAAAAGAAAAAAGAGAACAGTTTAGACATTTTTCATGTAAAATGTAATATGTTGTCGTCACAACGCCTCTATCAACATTTACTTAACATTGAAACTCGGAAGAAAAAAAAAATAATATTCATTCGTACTTTTTTTTTTCTTTCTTTCTTTCTTTCCTTAGATAAAGTTTACAAAAAATCCATTTTAAAACTGTCTGATATATAATGAGACAATACTTATAATAATTACCTAGTTTTATATATTTATTAAAAGAATTTTTAATAAAATGTAAAATATGACATAAATAGAATTTAATGTAATTCGAAGAATATTGTTAGTTAATGTTTATTCTTGATGAGATTTATTTTTGTTATTCTTATCGTTTTTTCGGCGAATGTTGAAAGAATGTTTATTTCTATTGTCGAAGAATTTCTTTTGAAAACATCATCGATGTTCTCCGACTCTTTTTGTTTTTACTTTGGTAGACGGACGGGTTTTTTTCTCTAGAGTATTTCTTTTTATTACACTGACTGTTGTAAAAATACAAAGAACGAAAGAAGAAAAAAAGTAAATTTAGTTAACAAACTATATATACAATGAAGAAAAAAAAACACATCATCTTATTTTTATACGAGATCTTTTTTTTCTAATATATTAAAAATACGTACATTAACGAACACATTTTCAAGTTTTTTTGTCATTTGAAATAGATTAAATATATTTAATATTTAAAAAAAAAGATTTTTTTTCTAAAATTAATATTTTTATTTGGTTTTTATTATTTTAAGAATGTCTAATCAAATAAATTTATTTTAATATAAATAGATAAAAAATCAAAATAAATGGCTGATATTAATGAAAAAAATGAACATAATCATCCACATTCAAATGAAAATGCACATGTGCCATTAACTCCAAACGAAGACGAAACCGAACGATCGAGTGACCGGTCTCATTTAAATTCAGATGACCAATCTGAAAATCCGCATGAATCATCAGAACATGATAAAATAAATGAAAATAATTCGGATCAACCAGTTGCAAATCAGTCCAATATGACAGATGAAGAGGGCAGACACGAACATGCAACAACTGTTGAAGATACACACATGGATCAATCAAGATCGAAAACTTCATCTAATGAAAAGCAACATAGTAATTCTACTAATCCAGTAAACAACAATAACGACGATCACACTATGGATACTGATGATATCACCAAAGATGATTTAAATCAATCATCTGAATTGTTCACAGATAACACAATGGAACCAGACACCCATGACGATAAAAATGACCAAACAGATTCACAAGAAAATACCTCAGTTAGTGATCTAAATAGTCCAGCTGGCGACGACTATCAGAAAGAGACAATTCCTCCAAGTAATTATCTATAGAATTTTGTTTTATTGACTTCATTATTTGATTGATAACGAGTATCTATCATCATTCGTTTTTTTTCATTTATTTACTTTTATTGTTTTAGCCGGCAATTCAAATGAGAACTATGAGACAAATCCTTCCACATCATCTGGAAAACGTAACTCAAACAGTGATATTCAACTAGACGAAGATCCAGAGATCGGTGAATCACAAGAAGGTTTAGAAATCCATAAACCAGAAGAGGGTTCAAATACCGATATGCAGGAGAAGCCTACTACTCCTAGTGTTCTATCCAGTTCCGTTCATGCCGGTTAGTATTTTGAAATTCTTCTCGAGTTTATAAAAAAAGATAATTTATTTAAAGGTTTATTTTATTTTCATATTTTCTATTGAAAAAAGTCAAAATTCTTATGAAAAGGCAAAAGAAATAATTTTTTTATGAATGAATAAAAGGATGAATATGTATGTAATTATTAAATTTATAATTATAGATATAAGATGGCTGAATCCACAATATCATGAGAATGATTTAATTAAAAAACCCGCTGAACTTGAAAATGATATGAACGTACCATCTGGCCCAATCGATAAGGATATCTTAAATCGTGTTCAAGGTTCTATGATAGGTATGGCATTAGGTGATGCACTTGGTGCTCATGTAGAATTTCGACCTCATCAATATTTGGTTCAGCATCCAGTAACTAAACTTGAATCAGGAGGAACTTGGGGACTTTCAAAAGGACAGGTATGAATTGTTTTATCTTTATTTACAATTTATATGATTAATATTCACATCAAGATAAAATTTTCAAACTAAATAAGATCTGCATAGATATTCATTATTTAATTTCTATAATCAAACTAGATTTCACGTGATTTTTTAAATAAGATTCTACTAATGAAAAACTTATTTTAACTCAATATTGTATTTATATTGCCCATGTTTTAGATATTTTTTAAATTTTAAATTATGATCAATAATTCTATTTATTTACATGTTCTTCTCATGTAAAATAAGTATTTTATTAAAATCTTCAAATTAAAATATGTACTTTTATACTAAAATAAATTTTATCGTCTTAGTTCTAAATATAGAAATTAAAAAAGTAGAATTTTTGAACAAAAGTTAATGAGATAATAAAAAGACTTTTTTCTCGTCAATTCTATTATTTTAACTCAACAAGTCTTTTATTAATCTTATTAATTGAAACAATTTTTGCGAAAGAAAAAATAATATTATCAATACTTTTGAAAATGACCATCAAATTTATAACATTAAATAGAGAATTTTCAGATGATCCTAGTAGAACTAAAGTCTAGATTGACGTTCTATCATCAAGTCAGATAAGATAAACTCATACCTCACGCCTACTCTCAAGATATAATTGTTAAAAACACATAACAAGTTTTTTCTGTCGAATTTTTTTCAGTTTACCGATGATACTTCTATGGCGCTTTGCTTGGCAAATTCATTAATAGCTAATCGCGATTATAATCCTTACGATCAATTGGTTCGGTATAAATGGTGGTATAAACACGGATATATGTCATCGACAGGGCAGTGTTTTGATATTGGAGCAGCTACTAGACAATCGGTACTCGAATTTGAACAGCGTCAAAAACAATATGCCAAGTCTCACAACATTCCACCCACTCAAATAGATTATCTACCTTACTCTGAACTTAAAAAGGAGTTTGATGTTTATTGCAGTGAAGAAGAAGTAGCAGGAAATGGAGCTCTTATGCGTCTCGCACCTGTGCCACTCTTTTTCTATAGGCATCCCGAAGCAGCTGTTGAATATTCCGGTCAAAGCGGACAAATTACTCATGGAGATCAGAAGGCCTATGACTCATGCCGTTATTATGGTGCTTTAATTGTTGCTGCTCTCCAAGGTTACTCAAAAGATAAGTTACTCGACAATGAATTTTATTCAAAACATAAAACATGGTTTGGTAACAATGAACTTCATCCTGATATAAAATCGATTGCTGAAGGATCATATAAACGTAAAAATGGTTATGATGATGGTATTCGAGGAAAGGGTTATATTGTCGCTGCTCT